CACCCAGACAGGAATACCCCCATCCAGTGCTCTCATTGTCAGAGGAAACCCTGTGACTACCTGACTCAGTCCTTGACCGGTCACTATCCAGTGTGTATGGGTAGTAAGCAATCCATGAATGCCTCCACATTCTGTTTCTAAACCACTCTAACTGCTAGAAAACGGGTCCTCAAATCAATTTGTCCAGCCAACATGCCCAGCAGTTGCGCTAGGGCTAGAAGCGGCCAAGATGAAAAGGACATGGCTTTTCGCATAAAAATCCAGTCTGGGTGCCTGGGTGGCTCAGTCGGTTAAGTGTCTGACTTCAGCTCAGGTCGTGAACAGTGGTATGGAGCCCCACTGTTGGGCTCTGCACTCAGTGGGGAGTCTGCTTCTCCCTCTGTCCCTCCCCCCTCCTCACTTGCGCTCATGCACACACATGCGCTCTCTCTCTCTCAAATAAATAAAAAAAATCTTTAAAAGAAAATCCAGTCTGACACATAGTAGGTGCTCAGAACTTGTGGAATAGGTGGAGGAGGGACGGAGTGAGCAAGCTCACAACCAAGGGCAGTGTTAGATATCTAAGAAATACAGCTCTAGCCGCTAATGGGAGGCACGTAATTTTAAATTTTCTAGTAGGCACACTTAAAAGGGTTAAAAAAAAAAAAAAGAATCAGGTAAAGTGAATTTTAGTATATTTAATTTCACCGAACCTAGAAAATATTTTCATTTCTACAAGCAAGGAGTATTAAAACATCACTAATGAAATATTTTACCTTTTTTGGTACTACTTTGAAATCTAGTGTGCATTTTACATTCACAGTACATCTAGATGTACAGTTCAGATTAGCACATTTCAAGAGCTCATTAGCCCCGTGTAAGTGGTGACTCCCCTAGAGAAGAACGCACGGGACAGAGTATTTCCATCATGGCAGAAAGTTCTACTTGGGCAACATACCTCCCAACAGAGGGAGGCAGTAAGTACATGGTGGGGATGAGCAGGCATGCTGAGGGCAGGTCATAGAGATGGACAGACTATGGAAGGCCTCGCTTGCCATGCCGAAGAGTACAATCTTTATTCGCTGGACAGCAAGGAGTTAAGATGGTGATAGGACAAAAAAAAAAGTCAGTGGTGATCAATGGTTTAAAAAACACAGATTCACAGGCTAGAATCAATCCATGATGAATACTCTTCCAATTCAAGATAAAATATTAATGACAGGGAAAAATTAGTATGTTTTTCATAAAACTAAATTTATTCAGTGCAATGAGTGGCTCTTTATTCAGAGATTATATGCCTTGGAGGTGGCAGGTGAGGGGGGCATTAAATGTGCTTTTCTGAGATGGTAGTAACCACAGACTGTCACTATGCTTTCAAAATGCCCTTGCTGGTCAAATTTTAATAGTTGCAACATCATGCTGCTCCCAAAATCCTACTTCTAAATTTTAGTTTGCAAGTAAAATCCAAAATTCTGGAACCACCAAGTTTTAAACAATTCCTGGACTTTATTAAGAGGGACATAGGGTCCAATGTGCACATATTATTCTGTATCCTGATTTTCTTATTTCCCACACAATTCATGTAGTCATAATGCTGACATGTGACTTTTTTTTGCTCCACACCCAATGTGGGGCTTGAACTCAAGACCCAGATCAAGAGTCACATGCTCTACCGACTGAGCCAGCCAGGCGCCCCTCTTACACATGACTTTTATCTTAAGCTGCTACACAGTAATTCAGTATCTGATGTGAATTATTGTTTGTTTAGTTATTTCTGTGATGTTTTGTGTTGAATCTATTGCTTTATTAGTATGAATAGCTTTACCCAAATTAACTGTCTTCCTCCAACCCCAATTCCACGGACTAGTTCCTCAGAATATAGTTCTCAACAGGGAATTTATGGGTAAATGGCAATGAACAGCTTTGTGTTTAATTCTTATTATAGATCACCAGGCTGTAGCAAAAAGACAATATGCAGCAAGACCAGTATTTCTTAACACCCTCCTATAATGGGTCATAATTATTTCTGATAATGTGATAGAAAAAGTAGCCCTAATTTTCATTTCTTGAATTGCTAACAAGGATAGGCCTGTTGTTTCAAATTCCCTATATTCATCTCTCCTAACCACTTCTAGTGAGGACTTTGGGTACTGACCTTTGAGATCTCAATTCTTTATATTTTGGGTGATAACCATTTAATCTTTAAAGCTGTCCCATTATCTTCACCCACGCTATGGAATTTCATTTAATATTTGTTCTATTGCCTCTGGCTGGGCTATTTTTCTTTTTTTTTTCCCCCCTTCAGATATTCAGGTACATCTGTCTTGTGTATAACAATTTTCCTCATTGCTTCAGTGGTCCTAAGTTTATCTTCCCTATACAGCTGGGTTAAAAATGCTATTCCATTTTCCTCTAGTTATTTTATAGATAAATACAGTGGAATCCAAAGCCAAGGCCTTTATACTCTGAAATTAATATACTTTTAAAACTGCAGAACTTCCTGGTATGAGTGAAATTTTCTCAGATTGTTCCCAAGGTGGATCTGCCCCCATCGTAAAATGACAGATGTCATCAAACAGCTAGCATTCACCCATCAGGAGTGAAGCTGGACAGGATATCTGAGAATCTGAACTTTTAACTCTTCCCTCAGAGGTGTTCAGCACCCCACAATTCTCTCAACTGTCAATGTTGATACTTACGTCTAAACAAGCTCACTTAAAATTAGATTTCAGCAAGAAAGATTATCAGTAGACAAAAGCAACAGCCTGAAGAAATAAACGATTGCCCAGGAATATAAAAATCAAATCACTATATACCTATGGAGGCATCTTACCTATTTTCCATATAATGAAATTTCTCAGGGAAATTTCAAATAATTGCCCCTCATGGGTGGAAAATGGAGAGAAAACAAGAGGATAAAGAAAAAAGAGCATTTATGTAATTGTTGACAAAATTTAGATCATACTATGTAAGTTTTACTTATCTATACATGTGACATACACAAAAAATAACCCAGAAGTCAATTCACTGAAAGCTTACATATTGTTATCTGAAAGGAGGTAGGATTATGGGTACTTCTGATTTTCTTCTTTTGACTTCTTATGCAATATGTACTTCATTATATACTTTACATAATTATTTTTATATGCATATGCTTCAAGAACATACTTCTATTTTAAAAACTTCTTAAAAATGGAGGAAGAAAAGATCTGGGCATTAAATTGCATCATGTGCTACTGAAAATTAAGCTAAGTCACCTCAACTTTTATTGAGGCCACAGCTCATTCAATGCAAGCACCTCCACTTTTTTTCATATACTCCAGGCTTCCTAGCACCACTTGTGAGAGTAAGTCTATCAGAGATTCATTATCATAGAAGAGAATTCTCAAAATACCATGAACTTTCAACCTGCCTTTTTTCTTTTTTTCTTTTTTTTAAGGTGGTCATCTCTAACATACTTGCAAAAGTATCTGCAGTGAGGTTTACATAAAAGCGACTATGATAGTGTTGTGGTCAAGTTGTTGGGTTTTTTTTAAGTCCTTATTTGTTAGATAAATATGAAAGCATTTACTGGCAATGATAAAATGATATATTTATGATTTCCTTGAAATACTCCAGCAAAAAAAAAAAAAAAAAGTGGTAGAGGGAAAACAGATGAACAAGAACAATAGAAAGTTGGAATTGCTGATACTGGGTGATGGGTACCATTATTCTGTTCTACTTTGGGTACAAAGTGTTTCTCTAATACAGTTTTTTTTTACGATGCTATGAAAACTGAAAAATATATACAAGTGCACAACCATTCCTCATATCATCCAGTGTGTCAAAGTTAAGCTCAGAGCGAAACACCATTAAAAAAAAAAAAATCAGGGTGACTATATCAAAGGCAGCATTTGACTCTGTAGCTTCTCTTTATTAGGCAAGACAGAGTATAGGCATGTGTAAATCTATCAGGAAAAATAGGTCTTTCATATGCATCTACAGATTTGATTCAGAAGATTTCAGATTTTCAGTCCTGGGCCAGAGTCAGACCAAGATAGCAGGCTGACCCAGCACTACTTGGCTCGTGACATTCAGAAAACAAAACAAGATGCGTGCTGACTTGAGCAACAAGACCCTACGCTAGGAGGTCCATTGTGCTGCTCACCACGAGCCAGGGCCCCGCTGCTTCCCTCAGAGGATGGGCTGGTCCACCCTCAAGCCAGCTGCAGGGCCAAAGGCCTCAACACAAGGTAGTCACCCAAGACCACTATCATTTATTTCATAAAGTCCATTCCCAGGAACAGTTGCAAAAGATGATATGAACACGAAGGAAGTGGGATTCCCAAACTGATGACTTCCCAGTGGGTCAAAAGTAAAAACAAAGCATAGTCCTACATAGGTTCATAAGGCACTCACAGCTGAAAGGCTTTCAAGTGCACAATCACAATGAGCCTCAAATCTCCCTTGAGAGGAGGGGAGGGCCTGGGTTATTTCCAGTCTACAGATGCAGAAACTCTGATTCAAAGCTTGGAAAGACTTGCTTCCAAAGAACAGAGTCTTCTGACTCGAAGGACAGTGCTCCTTCACTCCCCAGCACTCTGCTGAGAGTGCTCTGTGATGGGAAGACCAAGGGAGGCACCTCATGAGTGAGGCAAGGCAGAAAAAGGTCTCACACGTCCTGAGTTTCAAAACCACCTCAATTATTTCCTGGCTACCCATGACCATGTACTGTCTATTCTTTGCCATGACCATGGAGACCGAATGACTCTACCTCTACTTGCACCCATGTGTCTGTAGGCTGGATTTCCCTGCTTTCTAAGCTCTCACAGGTCTCCTCAATGCCTCACTTCACCTCACCTCACACAGAAACAAATTATTTTTTCTGTAACCAGGAGGCAACACTGTCATGGCTGGGAGGCTGGCTGCTGGCCATCTCTCTTCTTAATCAAGATGGTACAAGGGAAGGGAAGTTGGCAGCACAGTGGTAGCAGCCCTCAGCGCCCAGGGACCACTCAACCTAGTAGGAGAGCAAAGCCTACCTCTCTGACTTCGTGAAGCTGGCCGGGATACTGACTCTTGGCTCTTCGGGCAGCTGCAGGCGACTTGTGATGCGTGATTGTGACAACACCGGGGGCCCCCGTGCCGAGGTGTCTCTGGCTACAGGGAGACGCAGGATTGGGCGTTCCATGGGGGAGCAAAGTGAGACTGCGGCTTCGGGAACTTGGAGTCGTCTAGAATAAGCAACAGGTGTCAAAACTCAGCAACCGACCTGCAGAACACAGCTAAGGGTTGGCTTCCATTTATTTGGGACCCCTTCGCTTAATCTTTCCCCTTTGTCTATTTAGAGGGATGAAGGGATGGGGGAGGTACAGAAACACTACATGGCCCAAATCCCACACTCACTTAAGAGACAATGTCCGTTAACTATGCTCTGTGTTTCCTGCCCTACTCTATTAGCCATGAGAGGCTACTGAGTCCCCCCAAATGCCACAGACTCTTACGGATCTGTGCCTCTGCATAAATTAGCTCCTCTACCTAGAATGTTCTTCCCCTCACGCTGGCAAACTTCAGCTGAGTCTTAAGACTCAGTTCAGTTTCCTGATGTGTGAATCATCTCCCTGTCTGCCTCAGCCTCCCTGCTGCTCCTATTCCACTACAGCAAGATTATATTCGTTGTACAGCTACCTTCCTAAGAGATTTTTCCGAACTCATCTTTATATCCCTAAGACCTGGCACATCATGATTGTCTAGTTTATTAGGTACTTAATAAATGTCCGCTGCATAACTGAAAGTCCTCAGTTACCAACCAATTAATCCCCATTTGTTAGTGTACTGCTCGTATTTCATCCTAGAAGAATATATAATCCCAGTAACAATTTAGTATAGGATAAAGGTGGCATTTCAACCTAGTGCAGATGAATTTTTTCAGTAACTGGTGTTGGGATGACTGGGCAGCCATCTGGAAAACAAAGTTGGATTCATCTCACAGATCATAGACCCCAAATCAATCAAAGATATTAAGAAAAAAAAAAAGCACAAGAAAACATGTAGCCTTGGGGTAGGGAAAGCCCAACACCTCAAAATCCAAAAGCCATAAAAGAAAAGCTCAACAAATTTGATTACCTAAAAATCTAAAACTTCTGCACAGGAAAAAACTTTAAAAACCCACTACCACAGGGGTGCCCGGCTGGCTCAGATGGAGGAGTATGTGACTCTTGATCTTGGGGTCATGGGTTCAAGCCCCATGTTGGGTGTAGAGATTACTAAAAATAAATAAATAAATAAACAAACTTAAAAAAAAAAAACCCACTTCCACCACCAACAAAGCCAAACAATAAATTAGGAAAAATATTTTCAACTTGTTTCAAAAGGCTCATCATGCTTGAAATGTTGGCATTCATATTAATTACAGATGTAATTCTATTTATCTTACTGTAACTCCGAAAATTGTAGTATTGTTGTCATGGAAATGTACGTTATTCATAATTAGGAATGGAAATCCTAGGGATTAACAAGAAACAGCAAACTATTAAAATGGGGCAAGACAGGAACACTGATCATTCACAAAAACAGATGAAGTCCTTAAACCATATGAAAACACATTCAACTGTCTTCATTAAATGTAAATTCAAGCCACATTTAGATACCATCTTTGGCCCATCAGATTGACAAAAAGCCAAAAGTCTGAGTACACTATCTGTTGACAGGATCACAGAGGAATAGGTTTGTGGCAGTGTAAGTTGACAACACCCCCCCCCCCCCCCCCCCCCCCGCCAAGGAGGGCAACCTGGCAGTGCGTGTTGCAGTTACAAAGGCACTTTCTTGTGACCCACAATGTCCTGCTTGGGAATATATCCTCCAATACACCTGCTCCCAGGGAAAAATGGCAGAGGTACCCACCACGAGCCACCGAAGAAGGATGTTAAATGGCAGAAGATGGGAAACAACCCAAAGGCCCATCAGTATGGGACAGGCTCAGTAAATAATGGTACACCCATGTAACCTAACACCACTAAAGCTGTGTAAGAATAACGAGAAAGGGCTCTATGAGTTGCTCTGTAAAAAAAAATCTCTAGAGAAGTGAAAAAAAAGCAAGGTGCAGAACTGTCACATAGTATGCAAAGTTCTGCATCAAAATGTGAAAAATGAGTATTTTCATTGTTAGTCACTCACAATTATTTGTTTCTTTTTTAAAGATTTTTAATTTATTTATTTGAGAGAGAGCACGAGTGGGGAGGAGCGGCAGAGGGAGAGGGAGAAGCAGACTCTCCACTGAGCACGGAGACTGACGTAGGGCTCAATTCAGGTCCCTGAGATCATGACCTGAGCCAAAGGCAGATGCCTAACCAACCGTGCCACCGAGGCACCCCTAAAATTATTTGTTTAAACCAGAAAAATACTCCAGAAGAAGACCCACAAAACTAAAAAAGTGGCTACTTACTTGTGAAGAAGCAGAGAATGAAAGAGGAACAGAGAGGAAGGGAGTTTTTTGTTTTTTGGGGTTTTTTTTTTTTTGCCCAAAGGGTTTTTTATGTTCTTTCATTTTGAACCATGTGAACGTATCACTTATCCAAAATTTGTTCAATTCTACATAAAATTTCCATTCTAAATGTTCCTATCCTTCACTCCAGCTTGGGAGAAGGCAGTTACAGGATATGTTGACTCAGGCCACCTTCTGAATTTCAGGGATCAAATATTTACTGAACACCTACTGCGTGCCAAGGAGAATATGTACTGTGTGGTCTCAAGGAGAAACAGGAGAAGTACAAGACAGTCTTTCATCATAGATGCTTATAATATTGCTGGGGATAGAAGATACACACAGACAGAAACACATATATGCACGCGCATACACATGGAGTAAGAAAGTGCAGAGCAAGGTGTTAATTTGGCAATACAGCCAGAAAATGCCAAAGAAGTGAGGAAGAGCAAGATCTGCTAGAGCTGACCTCATCACTGCAGGCTGCTCTGAGAGTGAAGGACCTGAAGCCTGCGCAGGACTGGGGGAGATACAGAGATAGGCAGCCGAGTACAAATCAACCCCGACAGTCAGCACCTTCAAAGCGGTCTTAGCCTCAGGCCTCGGGTAACAGTCAACAGCTCTCAAAGCTGTTAAATGTTAACGATCTGTAATTGTCAAGGCTTGGAGGGGTTGGGAGTGGGGTGTGAGTCAGGGTAGAAGTCAGAACTTTCTATTGCCCTACATCATCAGAGGAGCCTGTAAGCGTTCTCTGGATTGAACTTCGAGATAATTAATAGGAAGACAAAGCCTGAAAGCAGTGTGTTGCTTTTAAATAACCTTATATATAGGCAACTGGAGAATTTTTCGTCTAAGAATTGCATATACCTCGATCACAATGAAATACATCTACTTTCTGCTTCAATGTTTTCACTTGGAGTGTGGAGGATGAAAGAAGCTATTTCTTTAATCCTTTAATGACAGTGAATTTGCCTAAGCATTAAGAGTCTACTGAAAAACATTTTGATTGTTTGGGAGGCTTATTCCAACCCAAGAAAAGGCAGCTTTTTCACTGGGCTTTTAAGACACACAGCCAAGGTTCCCTCCCCCAGCTGTACCAGGTTCTAGCTGTGCTGACTTCATTTGAGTTATTTAAGCTTTCTTATTAAGCATCAATTACCTAATCTTTAAAAAAGGAATAATAATATTGACCCTTAAAAGCCATCATGAAGATTAAATTAGATCGTGCACATAAAACGCTTAGCACAGTAGGAAACTGTATGGCCAAAGTTTGTTTCTTTCCCTCTATCACTTAAAACTTGATCGATGAAGGCCTTATTGATTTTTCAAATGTTAAGAAGTCACTTAGTTCAAAATCATAAGCAGTGACTGACCTCCTCCTCATTTATTTATTTATTTATTTATTTTTACAGGATCAAAGTGGTGATGAAGTCCAAAATATAATTAAATACTTACTGGAGAACCTATATGGTCAGCCATTACATTGCAAGATTATAGGGGGAGAAAACAATTCTAGATGCTGAGTAGAATGAGAACGCATTTGAAATCAGAGAGGAAGACAACTCTGGCGAAGAGGCACCTTTGCTTGGAGCACTACCACTGTAAATGGTAATAAATCAAGAAAACTCACCCAGGAGCCAAATTATTCCACTGTGAGTGTCTAACCTCATGATTATTACTTAATGGCTGTCACTTGAATTCACAAGCAGTAAATTTGAGTTGAAAACCTTTAATTTCCCATTAACTATGGGACTCTCACGGCTTAATTCACACCAGTGCCTCCTCTCAGGGTAAATATGAACAAAAAGCCTCACTCTTGGTACACTCCGTAGGTCATCAGGCTCCAGGAGAGAAAAAGGGAGACCAGCCAGCAAACTACAACCACTAGGAACGAGAAGGCTCTCTTTCCGCAGGCGGCCTGTCTAAAATTCCCAGGTTGTGTTTTTTAAATTGTATTTAGCTATCACACCACTCATCCCCGCTACTATTTTATAACAAAACATTATCCAGAGTTTGAGGAACAACAGGGCAGGTTTTTACTCCAAATATTTACGTCAGGGAGGGTAACTAGAAATGTCAAGTGCGCCATCTGTGAAAAACTCGGAGTCAAGAGTAACTGTTTCTCTCCGGGAATAAGATTCACCCTTTACCTAAGAGAATCAGCCCTTGTGTCCCCTCTAGCAAACAGCGCCGGCCTGACAAAGAAGAGAAAGGGGTCCCAGGTGAGACAGAGTGCTGATGCTCAGACCCTGCCCAGACATTCAACATGCGGTAGGGTTTCTTGGTATTTACAACCTCTTGGTTTCTCCTACTTACTTCCCCAGATCCCTGAAATGTCCCAAGTTTGCAAGGAAGACACGTACACATACTCTCTGTACTTACTGGCTAAAACGGGCATGAAGGAGAGGCATGACTGAAAAGAGGGAGAATGCACCTGAAAGAATACGTCCAGGCAGGGAAATCAAGCAAGGAGCCGAGAGATACGGTCCAGTCTGGGAAGCTTACAGCAGAATCACTGGACTATCCAGAGGCTGTGGGCAGGGAGTGCTTAAGAGTCCATGGCCTGGGTTCAGGTATGAGCTCTAGCATTCATGAGCTGGGTGGCCTAGTAAAGTGGCATGGGGTTCTCACTTCTGGAATTCTATTTTTTTTTTTTCCACTTCTAAAATTTTACTATTACCTACCTCACTGGATGGTTGGAGAATGAAAGGAGAAGAGGTAAGTAGGGCACAGGTCATGTACTTAGCATGA